GGCCAGCCAGATGAGACGAAATCCTCCTGGGGGGCACCGCCCTTTCGTCTGCTGCTACTTTTCTCTGCGCGGGATCCTCGTGGCCTCGACGCAGCCCAGGTAGCCCGTGGCGGAGAGTCCTACAGAAAAGCAGAAAAATCAATTACGCTCGGCTACACTTCGCCTAAGCGTTAATCCTAAGCGTTAATGTGCATACAAATGCACAGAGAAATGTACAAATCCATGTGCACGTGCACGTATATTTGTAAAAAGCGTCTGCGTGTCTGCTAGCTGCACTCTAAATGTGTGAACGTCTAATTGTGCTGGTCTGTTTGAGCAATGGGACTGTGCCATGCACAAGCCGATGCAAACACACAAGTGCACAACAAAAATCATATAGGGAGTTCTGCAGCCGCAGGCATGGATGGAGACGCACAGGGTAGATGAAAGTAAGAGAACAAGGCCCCACAGACACAACGATGCCGAAACACACATGGCACAGAGACGCAGGAAGAGATGGCGTAAGCAGATCCAGTGCTGCAGCAGATGAGACTGATGCATACATCACTCATGTCAGGGGATTCGCTCGACGAGGATGGTGTTTCCCTTCTTCTGGAATGGCCGCGGCCGTGGCGCCTTCTTCTATCAGGGGCCCTCGCTGAAGAGGATGAGCGGCGATGAGACCTACTGCTACCTCCGCCGCTATCACGGGTGCTACTGCTACTGTTGCCCCTACAGCGGAACCACAAAGCTCAGAAAAAAACAGAGGCGCAAAATCAGGCAGAAGTACACGCAACTACACAGAGACACACGGCAGAGCCAACAGCAGCGACACACGTATATATACACTTAACGAGAAGTGGACGAGGACAACGAAACGCATGGCTGCAGGACGAAACGAGACGTGGGAGCAAAATATGGAGTGTGGAACCGAAAAACTTGAAAGGTGCATGGAGGCCACGCGAATAAACAAAGCGGGAAAGCGGAAATAAACAGGAACTCTCCCTGTCCCCTGAATTCTAAAGCACTAGGCGCATCTAATGATTTCGTACTCTCCCCTCTCATTCCATGTATGTTTGTCTTTCTGCCCATGTGGGCCTTCGTATCTATCCCCTTCTGTCCGTACACATTTACCAACCTCCCTGCCACCGCTTGCCTGGTCTCCGTGTGTTATCCGACTCTCCTCCTCTGCAACTGCACTCCTCTAACGTGTCCAGTGCTATCTCTAGACCTGTAACCGTGAGTGCCAATATCTGGACCTCCCCGTCTCAATTCCCTCACAGCCTATTTAAATATCCCCGCACTCACTCCCACTTGTATGCCCTAGACTCACCCAAATTTATTCAACATTTTCTGAACTTCGAAAGCTGTGAATCTGTCTGTCCCAATCTTCTTTGCCGAGCTCTTCCCAGAGCTACAGCCCGCGCAAAGAAATTCATAACGCTGGAGATCCACTGAACAGACTCCCTGAGTAGCCGAAGAGAGCAGGCAGCAGACAATACACATTTTCACGCGACCACACGGATAAAGAAACAGTGCATACTTCCGTGGCGCTCGAAACTGCAAAAACACTAGCGGCGGAACAAGCAGTATATTACCCCTCTGCCGCAAATAGCGCACTGATCGTGGCTGTTGGCGAGAAAGTAAAGCTTTTCAAGATTGACGGCATCTTCATATTCCGTCTTGCTGAGACCCATCTCAGCCGCTGAGGCTGAACTGAACCCCATTTCCAGTTCCTGATATAGCCTTTTCCGCTTCCGCTTCTCTGAGTCCCGCTGATTTGCCTAAGGCTTTTGAGGCTACTGTCAATGAATGTGCTGGCGGGGGTAGGGAGCAACACTATCCCTCAGTTCGGCCACTGCAGCCCCCCGCCAGCCGCTGCAGCCCCACGTTTGCTGCTGTTGCACGTGATGAAATTGTTGCAGCAGGTGTCGATGCCTATTGCTGCCTCCCCGTTCCAGGCGCTGCTGCAACCAGGAATGCCCCTGTTGTTGCTCGGATAAGCTCTGCTTTTCCCCAGCTGCTCCTTCTGCTGCTAGTGTCCACGCTTTTTCTGAATCTGTCTCAGTTGTTATTGCTGTTTCTACGCCCGTCGCTCCTTAGCAGCCGTGACTCCTGCGTGATGGTGAGGCTGCCGTACCGAAACGTCCAGGCCCCGAAAGAGCAGCTTGCTTCTGCTCCTCAGCTCAAATCTGGCGCGGTTTCGCTGAAAGCGGTTGCCCACAGACGCAGTGGAAGTGCACCAGAGGGGTCCAGGAGCTGCTGCTTGCAGCAGTGGCGCCCGGCACGGGCTGAGGGAGGCCGTGCTGCTCCTTAGGGCCGCAGCGAGATAAACACAGTTGAAAGAAAATATGAGGAACTGAGAATCCGCCTTACAAAGATAGCAGACAAAAGGAAAGCCGCCAGTAGACGGACTAGCGGCTGAGGCTGTTCAGATGGCAAGCTAGACGCCCAAAGTGGAGGGACCTGGAATGAAAAAATCCCTTTGCTCTCAAATAAGGGTAACAAAAAAAGGAATCTAGTTCAGGTTGAGGCTACTCTTCCCGCTCCCGCCTATCCTGCCGTTACTCCTACCGCTCTGGCTCCAGAAATAAAGGGCTGTAGAGAAAGGGCTGTGCTGCACTTCTTCTCTTTCTGTCCATACTCTTTGGCTTCAGTTCCAGAATAAACAAGTTTGCACTATGCGATTAGGCCTATCGATGAGTCCGCCAGATGAAGCGCTAAACGGCACACAAAACCGCTAACAAAGCGGCTGCGACTTTGCGCAACGACGCCAACAGCAGCAGCGGTAGCATCTACTGCTGCAGCTAGAGCTGCAACAACAGCAGAGAACGGCGTGTTGAGTGTTTAAACCCCCCGAAGAACTAACAAAACAAACGAAATGGCACAGGATTTTACGTTGAGAGAAATGTCTGGTGCGGGCCGGTGGGCTGTCTTCATTGCCGCGCTCTACTACGGCCCGTGAACAGCACTTTTTCCAGCTGTGAAACTTATTTCTATTATAAATAGACTTTGCTTCACGTCGGACCGAAACATGGTCTCCAGTTGCAGGATATGTTGGGGAAACGGTTGTTCTCGCGGGTGGTGCTTTCGTTTCCAGACACTCCATTAGATGGGATACAGAGTTTCGCTTCACACCTTCAGGTGACTAATCGGGTGTGCACGTAGGACTACCAGTTACTTTGTGATAAAATACAGGATCTAGTTGAGGAAGAAAGCAAAGATGTTGGTAGGTGCTGAATGTGAAGTCGTTGCAACTCCAATTAAGAGATTGTGGGGACACTAGTAAGCGTGAAGATCGTAGTGCGGAGTCCCTTCCCAGTAAGCGCCGTGCCTTTTGCTAAGGAATATGAAATGAGAAAGTAGGTGGGTCGTGGGGGGCGTCTAGCTCAAATGGTAGGGCGCTCGCTTAGCATGCGAGAGGTAGAGGGATCGATACCCTCGTCGTCCATCAATCTTCCTCGCGCTTTCGTGTTGTTGACTAGCATAGCGGTTTCACGTTATTGGCTATCCACAGAGCAGCACCGCGTGTCTGGATACTTTTCCGAAGGCCTGAGGCTGCACGTCTCTGCACGAGGAGGCTGAGGCAGCGCGTGCGTGTGCTTTGTTAGTTGCAGCGCTTGTCTACGTGCTGAATACTACAGGGGTACGACAGAGCGTGCGTGGGATAGTATGCAGGGTATTTTCTCACTTCGAAGAATACATTTTTAGAGGCACGCGTGGAGAAAGTATGAAATCTACAAGAACAAATACATGAAAGCGATTTCACCCAGACGTTTGTAGACCCGCAGGCATCACTCGGATACGCGAACTACGGAACACCCTGGGAATTGCGCAGATTGTTGAAGCCACTGTAACAATCCAAAGTGCATCTATGGGTTGAGGGGCATATGGTGCATTCCCGTAAGTTGTATTCACTGTAACAATGCAAAGTGCATCTACAGGTTGAGGGGCATATGGTACATAAACGTAAAATGACATCTGCGCTGCGTGCACGTCTCGGATCGAGAGGTGCAGTGTAGGCCCCTGACGACTTTTGTTACATTTTCATTCCGAAAACTGGGAGAGAGAACTGCAAAAATGAATTTTTCGACAGGAAACAACATTTCCACGAAGGAACCATGTGAATGCATCTAGATGTACTGTATGCAAGTAGACGTCCTTCTTCGCCTTCGTTGTACATAGACTTGCGGTGCATGCCTTTGCGCATTCACCGAGACTAGGGAATTAAAATTTGAGGCTCCTCACAAGGAGAATCTGTTCTCCTTTGCAACCGTTTGCTTGCTTCTTTTTGAACAAAACTTATTCTTTTAAATGAGTTGACGTTGTACATACACAGTGCTGGGCCTCCAATACGAATATGACTACATAATTCATACAGATACACTTATATGAATAAATATGTACAGGTATTCATGTGAGAGTTCCCATGCATGCATACGTGTACAGCTATGTTCATATATGTACGCGGATGTACGTAATATGCATTTTGCGCACTCAGCATCCAAACGTATATATCCATTATGTGCTGACATAGGTATGCTTTGGCAAGCGTGTAGGGGCGCAGTGATGCATATAGGTGTCCCACACGCAAATAAGCACAAAACACTTTAGAAAATAAGCTTGGCTCTGTGTAGAGAGTTAAATATTTAAAAAAGACTACAGGGACCTCCCTGCTAAACTTTACGAGGGTAATACCCCCGCAGAAAACAGAAAAATGTTCCCTTACCAATGTGACGAACTCCTGTTGCTACTGGTCCTATTCACCCACATGCTTTTTCTCCTGCTACAAATATTGCGGCTCCTGCAGCAGTAGTTTTGCACAGTAGCAGCGCTGGCGCTTCTTGAGCCTCCCCAAATCGAATGATTCCATGAATGCAGCTGCTGCTCTCGATCTGGCCACCAGAACCACCATGTACGGCCAAATTTTGCAGCATGCACTGTTGCCGCTACTAATAACACGCAGCGCGACGAAGAGGACCACATCTTCACCTGCATGCGTCCTGACCGGACTTCGCTACTTAGCGCCCGCTTTCAGTGCCACTGTTGTTGCTACTAGTGCCGATTCTGTTGCTGCTACTGCTACTCCAGGAGCGTTTAGATTGTCTGGATGACATGCACTTCTTTGCAGCCCTCAGAGAGGCAGAAGGCCACGAGAGAGGCCACCTTGGCCGCAGCAGCACAGTCATGCCCTCATCTAGAAGGTGATCCCTGCTTTTCATGGTGCTACTGCTGCTGCTCGAGACAGCAGCGGGAGCTGCAGAGTACGGCCTGACGGGGACAGTGTACTTAACTCCGCAAGGGACACAAGATCCCCATGGATAATGGGAAACACTGTGGGAAGCTGTCGGCTCGGGCTGCGTCGCACCCTCTGTTCTTGTCTTAGCAGTTGCTGCTGTTGCGAGATTTGCACTGCTGACGGGGCTCCTGTTGCTGTTTTTCCAACGGGCCGTCCCATCGGGGTCACAGGCCCAGAAAGGCTTACAGTAGGAAGCGGCAGCAGCTGCTGCATCCTTTTCGGCGCGAACAGAGCGGGGACTCTGAGCCCGTAAAGCTCCCAAAGGATCTTTACCAGATTCACACAAGGTTCCAGGAGAAGCGCCGTATGGGGCCTCTGCGTGCCTCTGTAAAAGCACTCCTGGAGGAAGCTCCGGCAGCTCCGCAGCCCTTGCCTCATCCTGGAGCTGTAAAAAGCTCGCGAAAGCTTGCGTGCTGCAAATTTCTTGAACCAAAGGGTCTGCTTCTTTGGGCAACCCGTGTCCCCTTGACCTGCTTGCATGGGCAGAGGCTTCCTTGCCTTTAAAAGGGCCCCCACGAGCCCCAACTGTAAGCCCCTCACGTCGACATCCTGTGAAAGTGTTGCAACCCCTCAGCAACTCCACAAAAAAACGGAGGAAAGCCTCCCGAACTGCTGCGTCTGCTGCTGCGTCCGCCTGCTTTTGCTGGACTCGCTGCTGCTCCTCCTGCCGCTGCTGGCAGCACGTGTCAATAGCCAGGGAAGAGCTCCAATCACCGAAAAACCCAAGTGGGTTTTCTGCTGAATCCAGAGGGTGAATTTGGGGCAGTGCGCATACAGTGCTTGCCTGTTTCAGTGCAGCAATACGAAGCGCATTGGCTGCTGCTGCCATATCTGTTTCTTCTTTTTCCGTTGCAGCCTCTGCCTGCGAAGAAGGCGAATGCTGTGCTTTGGAAATACATCCGCCGTTGCCACTGCTGGGGGCAGCAGCAACTGGTGTAGTAGCACGCACGTCCTGAGTGCCAGTGTTGACAGCTGATAAAGTCAACGTGTCGCCTTCCTCAGAAGACTCAAAGGAAACTCCTGAAAACTCACGCCACACAGGGAGCAAGTTACTACTCGATTCTGTCGCTGCAGAAGCCACTGCAGCGGCGCCGTCATACACTCCTGCTGCAGCAATGAATGTCGCTGGCGCTGAGGAGATCGCAGTGCCGGGGCCCCATAGCTCATCTCTGTCGCTGGCCGCCGATAACGCTGCTGCAGCTGTAGACGGTGCAGTGACGCCCCTTGCTGGAGCAGCTGAGGGCCTTGTTCCTGTGCCCCAAGCTTTACTTCGTTCAAAAACTTCACTACTGCTTCTGCATTGCCGCTGCCACAAAAGCGACACTCCCCTCCGCCCCCGATTGCTAGGTATCGCTGGCCGTTGTTTCTGTTCCAGCAGCGACAATGATTGTCGTTCCAGCAGGGGCCGATGCTGGTGCCCTTGTGAAACAATAGCCTCAGCAGATTCTGCTTCACTCGAAGCAGCAAGCTTTGTTGTGGGTGAAACCCCTGTAGCTGTAATGGGCACGAAATTGTCTGATTTCTGAAAGTAATCCTGCTCCTGTTGCTTTTGTTGCTGCTCCTCATGCTTTAGTTTGTGGTGCAGCTCTTCCTGTGGTTGCTTTGGTTGCTCCTGTTTTAGTGTATGGGGCTCCATCTGCTTCAGTCGTTCCAGCTGCTCTAACTGCAGTTGCTTTGGATGTTCTTGTTGCACTTCTTGTAACTTCTCCTGCCACGCATTCTGCCGTTGTTTTGATTCCTTTGACCGCATCCATGTGGTTACATCAGCAGCGGCAGCCGCAGCCTTCGCTCCAGCAGGAACAGATGAATAACGGAGAAGTGCAGGCTGCCCCGGTCCTCCGCGCCCCGTTGCTACTGTCGCTGCTGACGCAGCAGCGGCAGCTGCTGCTGCAGCATCCGTTATTTCTGCACCAGCGGCGGACGGCCGCTGCCCCCACAGCCTCCAGAGCCAGTTGTCTCTCCTGTGCTGTTGTTGCTGCTGCAGTTGCAGCTTGGCGGGCTGTGGTAAGTGTTGCAGCTGCACTTGCAAGCCATGTTGCTGCTGCAGCTGCTGCTGCTCCGTCTTTCCGGGGGGCAAGAGATTCAAGAACCGAAAAACAGACAGCAGAGCTCCACTGTGAGTGCGCGAGGGTCCACCTCTCTGGCTTGCATTACTGTTGCTGTTCCTGCAGCTGCCAGCACCTGCAGTCCCCGCGATACCAGCGGTTCCGGCGGCACCGAAGCTAGTGCTGCTCAAGCCCCTTCCATAAGGGCTAAGCAACAGCCGTTGCTGCTGTTGGTTGGTACTGCTTGTGCGCAAAAGCTGCAGAGGGTCACCCTTTGTTGCGCCTTGAAGTTGATGCATGGCTGTTGCTGACGCACGTAAGCTGCTGGCACCATTCACATTACCAGAACCACTACTAGCACGACGTGCGCTGTATGCTGCTGCTTTTTGTGCGGTGTGGGCAGCAATGCTCTCTCGCAACAACAGCCAATTGGAGGGAAGGAATGCAGGAATCTGCGGTTGCTGCTGTTGTCTCCTTTTTTTGTGCTGCTTCTGCTGGTGACGCTGTAACATCTTCCGCTGCTGGCTGGTCAAGTTCTCGTCTACTATTGCTGCTGCTGCAGCCGCTGCTGCTGCAGCCGCAACTAAATCTCCACAAAGTAGAGGTACAAGGCTCGAGATGAGCTGCCCTAGCATGGCTATTGGCAGAGGGGGGAGTCCCCAAGGCGCAGCTCCAGGTGCTGCTGCTGTTGCTGCTGCTTCCGCTGCTGTAGCTGCTGCTGCTACGGTGGCGGAAGGTCCCAGTAACTCGCGCTGCTGCGAGTCCTCCGCTGCTGTCGCGAACGCAACGTGAGAGAGGGAGACAGAGCAATTGTCCAGGTCTACCAAATAAACGCCTGCAACAGCAGCGGCACCAATATGTCAAAAGCAAGTCAACAAAGCCTCTTCATTAGACTTTGTTGCTCACTTAAGGACGGCAGAAATAGCAGTGGCAATGCGATGAAACAAGGTACTAGCAGCAAGAAAATTCCAGCGGCAAACGCTGCAACTTCAACAGTTCGTTCTGGTTACGATGCCGAGTCACAAGGCATCCAGCAACAGCACCGCTTAAAAAGATTAAAAATCTGCGGGACGAACCAAGAGGAAAGCTATCCAAAGACTGAGCAAACATATTGATGGCGTATAGCATGTTGCCAGACACGGTATTCGTGCAGTTGCCGTTGTAGTTACTGCTGGTGCTGTTCGTTCCTGCTGTTGCCGTTGCTGCACTCGTTGCGGCTGCTGAAAAATCAGGAAGCGTGCACACATAAACTGCGGGTGGTGCTGGTCTCCCTCTGGGAGCGCCACCGCGCCTCCGGTAATTGCTGCTGCTGCTGGTACTCTTTCCTGGTGGCTGCAGCAGCTCAACCGTGGCTTCCTGCCTTTCCTGCTGTGGTGTCAGCATGCCCACGCAGAAGGGGAGCGGCATGGAAACGAAATGTACCAGAGGAGCCGGAAGCAGCGGGACAAAAACTTGTGAGTACCTTAGAGGATACATCAAGGCTGCAAACAACGCCAAATAATAACAGCAAAAGCAGCAAATAATGCAAAATTGCAAAGGAAAGAACTAAAACGGTAAAAATGGAATTTTCGAGCAGTCACAGCCACCGTTGTGACGCTGCTATTGCTGCTGCCCTCGCTGAATCATTGGACTCTCGTGTAGTGTTGGACAGACGCCTGCTTGCTGCACCCGCATAAACACTATATATTACCATCCAGTCTTCGCCGTTGCTGCTATCATTGTCATAGCTGACCTGTGAGTGCGCACGGAAGCAGGCTTAGTCGGTTGACAGATGCGGAGAGCATGACAATTTGCTTCTCGCAGAGCAACAAAAGCAAAATTAATAACAGCAATTCCAGGGGAAAACATTTTAGAAGATCCACAAGGGGAAGCTGCAACACGCAAGACACAAGAAACACAGGCCATACCTAAGTTAGCGGTCACGCCACATCAACTGCAGCTGCGGCAGCAACAGATCCATCAAGAACAGCTGTCACAATAGATGCAACAGCAACTTACTTGCAGCAGCGGCAAGCTTCCAGGTGAGGGCAGCGCGAAATGGAGGGCACGCGCCGATGATAGTGAAACGGAAATCTTCAGCTTGTTGCAGGAACAGCCGTCGTTTTTTCTAAGCTTGCTGTTGCCATTCCTTCTCGTAAAAGCATTAGTGCAGCTGCTGTTATCGCTGTACAAGTTATGAAATTGCTGTAGCGGCAGCACCTGCCATATGTGCGCCGCCACTGGAGCTGGCGTTTCAGCCACCAGCCTTTCCGCTTGTTGCTGCAGATACAGCAAAGGTGAAGCCAGTAAGAGCTGTTGCTGGACGTACTGCTGCTTCTGCAGTACGATGCGGCCCCCAGAAGCGCATGCAGTAGTTTGGCAGAGTGCAGCGTATGAAGTGTACGTGCACCACAGCCACTCATGAAAAGCCCCAAAGAAGGGAAGCTCAGATAGTATGCAGAATGCTCTCTCCACATACAACAGAGGTGGCTTACTGCAACAGGAGTCTGCCACAGCATCTGCAGGCCTTGCATCTGTAATTCGTGTTCCTGCAGCTGATTCTTCCCCCTCCACCTTTTCCACTTCTCGCTGCGCTTCACCTTCTGGCTTCCTTGCAGTTTCATCAGGAGCCTCTGCATGTGCTGCAGGGGTGCATTTGCTGCCCCCATTGACAGGACTGCAGCTGTTGTTGTTAGGCATCTCCATAGCTACGAGTTCGAAAAAACGGAGGCAGTGTCCATACAAACGACGGCCCTGAAAGTCCGTCAAGACGAAAACAGAAGACGTCGGAGAATGCACTCGCAACAGAGATGCGCAGGGGCACCCACCCCAGTCGCACATGCATCTTGGATTGCATGCAGGTGCTGTTCCCGCTGTTGTGGTTGTCGCTGATGGGGCTGTTGCTGCTGTCTGCGGGACCTCAGTTTGTGATACTGCAAGCGTTGTCTCTGAGGCCAGTGCGGCTGCTGTTGGTGCCGCTTGTACTGGTGAGCTCAGCAGGTCCTGTAAGGCATCCGGGTAGTATGAATGCCAAGGAGATCTGCACAGCGGTGCTGCAGCAACCAGTCGTTGCTGCTGCGGCTTCAGCAGCGTGCAGAGACAGCCGCTGCTGAGAGGGAGCACATGCGCTGCACCCTTAGGGAAACAGAATAGTTCTGCTGCGGGAGGGACCTCCGGTGGCAGCCACGAAGCGTCAGAGCCTCCCTCTTCTGGTGTACATGCCCCAGCCCATGCTGTTGCGGACTCTTCTGCACTTTCTGCCTTTGGCGATTCCCTTGGTGCTTCTGCTCTCTCCGCCTCCACCTCTCGCACAATTACGATCTTGGGCTTGCCCTCGCGTGTGACGGCTACATCGAAGCTCGGGATGTAACCACAGCTCCAGCAGCCTTGCATGCTCCTCGAGGTCCCTTTGTAAGAGCTGCTGCTGCCCCAGTTGCTGTTGTTGCTGTTGTTGCAGGAGTCGACGCTGCGGACTCTGCAACAGACAATAGCAGACGAGTGTTGCTTTGACCTACGCTCAGCCTCCGGATTCTCTTCAGCCGCTGCTGCAGCTGCTGGTGCATCTGCTGCGCCGGTTGCTGTCTTGACGTTCGCTGTTGGGCTTGCTGCTGGTTTTGTTTCAGATGTCGTAACATCACCAGCATCTGCTCCTCTGGTAGCCGTGAGGGTCTCGCTTCCAGCCTCAGGCCAACTTGTGCTGCGACGTCTTGTCAGCTCCTTACTGCAAAAAAGATGTGTATCGCTGATGCTACGCTTGCTGCAGCCGCTAAAGCAACTGTTGCACCTGCAGCTCCTTCGCTGCATCGTTTTTGTCCTTAAATGTGAGCAAGAGACCTTTGATTCTCCTTCCGCATTTACTGCATCGATGTGCGCAGCATACACCTTCCCTTTGTGATTGCTACTGCCTCTGCTTGCGCTTCTGCTGCAGGAATCTACCTGCTTTCTGCAGCAGCTGCGAATGCAGTAACTGCGGCTTCTGCTGCTGCTGCTACTTTTTCCGTACGTGCTACTGCTCCCTATAGCCTGTTGTGTCAATGATGCGTTACTGTTGCTGCCGTAGTTTGCGGCAGCAGCAGAGGGAGCCCATGCGCATCCTTGTGAAACGCTGCACAAACTGTGCACTCTGCTGGAGCCGCAGCTGTGCACTCTACTCGAGCTGCAGACAGAGCTAGAGCAGCAGCGGCTGCTATTACTTCTGCTCTTATTACTGTCAATGCTCGTTCTGCTGCCACAACTGTTGCTCCTCGGAGGAACAATGCCTTTGGGAAACAGGCAGGGGACGTTCTTACCGGTGCAGCACCACCAGACGCGAGGCTGCAGCAGATCGTCGATGCTGCCGTAGCTGCTGCTTCTACCACTGCTGCTCAGCTGTGTACCTTCATTCGTGTTTTCTGCTGGGCTTAGTTCCTCCTGCTGTTGATGCTGTTTGTCTGGCAGAGGCTCCTGGCTAGTAGAAGCCTCCGACTTCTCTCCAGCAGCAGGAACAGCGGCCGCAGCGGCAGTACACGCCACATCTCTGGATTGCTGAAAGGTGTTAGCGTCGCAACAGCAGCTGCTGAGCTTCTGCTTCTGCTGTTCGCAGTAATCGCCGACACAGCAATCCAAGACAGGCCTAGCTGTTGAAGGCCCGAGAATCAGAAAGGCCTCAACAAGGGAAGGCATGCAACGAATACGGCGGGAAAATTGTTGGTAGGACCGTCGCCGTTGTCGCTGCTGGTCTTCGCCCTGTTGCACGTGCGGCTGCTTCTCCTCATGAACCTTCTTTGGAGGCTGTTTTTCACCCTGTTGCTGCTGCTGTTGCTTGTTGCCTGTCGCATCGATCGGTTGCAACAACGGCACATCTTGCTGCTGTGTCACTTGTCTTCTCGGTAACTCTGACGCCCTTCGTTGCTGCTGCTGAGGCTTCTCCCCTTGTTCCGCTTCGCGTTTCGACTGCTGCTGCTGCTTCCGTAGCTGTTGTTGTAGCTGTCCCTGTAGTTCCAGCTGCTGTCTCTGACATCTTTCCACAAGCCCCTCAAAAATTTGTTTTCTGGCGCCCCAGCCGTCGCTGCGGCCCCCAGGAACCCCTCGGAATTTAGATGAGTCTCCCCAGCTGCACCATTCCAAAAATGCATTAGTAACTGCTCCAACAGAGTCGCCCAACCCGCTGGACTCACAGCCCTCCGTAACAGCCTTCTCCGAAGAGTCCCCGGGAGCCTCTTTTTGGGGTTCCTTTGAAGGGGTATTGGGGTGGAGCCTGCATGCCGCTTCAGCCTCCAAAGAGCACTTTTCAGATGAGTTCCTTGGGATATCCGAAGGGAGCCCCAAGCATGTTTCTTCGAAGGATTTAGCAGGAGACCCTCTAGGCGGTTTCGCTGAGGCCTCTTCTGGTGGGGCCCCTGGTAAGTCCTCAGGAGACTTTGTTTGGTTATCTACTGGGGACAATGAAGGAGAATGCCACACCTTAATGCTTGCGTAGGGGGCCCAGGGGCCGCCTATTGCCGCCGCGCTTAGGGGGAGTGGGCAAGATACGGGTGAATCTGTGGAATTTCTTCTAGACGCGACTGGAGAAAAATTACTGGGGTCCTCCATGTACAGGCCGATTGCATCATCCACTTTTGCCCCACTGACTGCACCATTGACTACCTCAGCTATTACTGCTTCTTCAGCAGCTTTTGCTGCATCTGTACCTGCCGGTGCTGCTACACTCACTTCTCCACGCTCAACACTGGGCGCATCTTCAGGAGTTGTCATAGCAGCATCCGTCGCAAATGTTGCAGGCAAGGTAGCAGTCTTAATTCTTACTTCGGGTGTTGCTGGTGCTGAGGGAGTGTCTGCTGCTGTTCTACCCATGGGGAATGGACTTGGTGTCGCTCTTTCACCCGTTGCCGCTGCTTCTCCTGTAGGAGTGATACAAGTCGTATTACCATCAACCGCTGTTATATTTGCTGCAGTCGATGTTGCAGCAACAGTACGCGGGTCGGAGCAGCTATGTCGCGCGGAACCCAAACAGCCAGCCTGCATCTTCTGCGTATGCTGATGCTGCTGCTTGGTGCTGCAGTTGCTGCTGTGGCATTGATGCTATGCAGAGCTACAGCCAGAACTCTACAAAGCAGACAGATGCCCCCGCACCAGAAGTCTCTGCCGCTGCCACATGAGGCACTATGAGACGCTAGTGGCGCCACTACAAAGGGAACACACAGGAGTCTCCATAAATATAGGGCTTCAACAGCAACAGCTGCTGCTGTGTGTTACTGCTGTAGCTGGCACTTGCGGTCCTGGTACTGCTGTAAGCAGAAGAGATCATCTGCAGATTAGATGGAGCCAGCATTAACCCATCTTTTTTATGCTGCTTTTGGCGGAGGCCGCAGGAAGGGACTCTGGCCGTGTGAAACCTCAGTTGCGCGTTTGGGGCCCCTTGACAGTACAAGCCGAAGGGGCGGAACAAGAAAACGTTTTCCGTGCCATTCCCCGTAGATGTGCACTTTTCGTTCAAAATTTCTGTTGAAAAGAGGCTTTGGCCCTGAGCCAGATGCCATCACCGCTGCTCATGCTGCTGGTGCTCTTACATGCATGTCTTGCAGTACTACGTGACTGGCATTCCCCTTCAACTGCATTCTGCCTTCTTTTGCTTTTGTAACACTATTAATTATGCATTTTTACCAAATCCAACCATTCATTGGGCAACTCTTCGCCAGTCTCAAGTGCCCCGCTTGCCCGCTGTTGCATCAGGGTCTACAACCAGGATGTTTTCACGACAGGCTTCAACAAAGCCTAAAAGTCCTGGGCTGCGTTCTACCTTGCAGTGTGAGCCTTACGTGCACCATGGATAGCGCTGTAAAGCACCATGCGAGTGCTAAGGCAGCGAGTACAATCGATGGGAATACCGAGCCCGCCCACAGCTCAGCAGGCTAACTAGCTGCCTGCCTGTGAGTTTCTTGAAGGCTGTACTCCAATTGACATGCCTGTCCGAGTATTTTGTGCAGCGCACTGCGCGCAACAATGTCCACTCCCACGGACCAAGAGTTCGAACAAGCATGTCGCGTCGTGGACACGTCTCGTTTTCTTTCTGAAGCTCAGTTGTTATATTTACTCCATTGGGCCCTCACAGCTACACCGCAGTCCCAAATCTTGGTGCATCCTGAATTAGGCCAGACAGCTCACATCTCCAGGGCTACGGATCCAAGAATCACTAGCAACGCCAGTGGAAAGCCGTATAAAAAGCACCGCTCAGCTATTTGCTGAACGTTACATATATGTGCATCGCGAATCCGCGAGCCCGTCAGTTTTCCCTCCAGCCATACAATGCTTACGGATGGACGCTGTTCATCTTAGTGGATCTCGACAATGCTCGTTCCTCTGCACAAAATACCGTGTATACTTTGGATAGAATCGACTCTAAAATCAGCAGGAGCAGGGAATATCCTTGACCCATGTATTTACACTCTATGCATATTCAAAGCTAGACACACCAAACGATGCAGCCCCCGGCTGAGTCGGCCATACAAACGAGAGGGGTTGCACTAGTCCTCTACTGCTGCACCTAACTCTACAGCAGCGTGATGCCCCTGAGCTGTGCTTCAAGGAAGCTCTGCCTCTCAGCGCTAAGAAGGCTTCTCCAGGCCGTAACTGAATCCTGGGTGGGGAGCCCTAATGATGCCTTCGTCGGGGGCCCTTCTAAGATGCAACTCAGCAGAGGCGGGCCACCAGGGTATACAAAGGCGGCGCCCGAAGCGATGCATCGCAACGCAAAAAGACAATTTTTCGCCGTGTGAAGGGCGTCGGCAAGCAGCTCTGCAAAAACAGACACAGCGGAACATGGAGCAAAAGAGTAACGCGCCTTCTTTCGCGCAGGATGCATACCTCTACTCAGGGCAAACAATAATTCAAGCCTGAGTAACGAAATCCAAGACAGCGCCGGCGTTTGCGTACCGGCTAAGCCATCTTTCCAGTCTTCTCTTTCTAGGGAGGCCCCACTAAGGCTGATGTGCAGCAAAGAGAGACAGCGGCGCGGCTCTCCAGGAGGGCATGCAGGCTGCTGCAAAGCAGCAGCAGCAGCAGCAGCACCCGAAGCGGCTTCACCGCTTAAAGACAGTAGTTGCCTCTCCAAGTAAGACGACACCAAAAGGTCCGAAGGCCCTGTCGAAATTCCCTGGGTTCCACCCGATTGAGCGCGAATTTCAGCTGTGCCCTTGCTGCCGTTGGAAGCTGCTACAGCATGTGTGATGAGCTGCACAGCAGATTCAAGGGTAGCACCACACCGTTCCATGTGCAATGCCGCTATCTGCTGAAGTAGCTCAAGTGTGCAGTCGCTGCTGCTGACTGCAGGAGCGTAAGATGGGACTATTGACAAGGCTCTCGAAATGATATGCACAGAAAGAGTCGCAAAAGAAATAGCCAGCAAGCGGAAATAGGCGGCCCTGCAAAAGAACACAGACACACTAAAAAACACAGACAAATGAACGCAAACAAAAGACAGTTGAGACTGGACCTACGAAGCACACGGAAACACTAGGACGCCATCAGCGGACAGGCAGAAACATCTCATCGACCAGGCCAATGGATAAAAAGGCATGAATACAGGCTTTGGTAGTCTGATAGGATCGAAAGAAACACTCCCAAAGGTCACGAAAGCAAATTAGACGAAGGGCAATGGAAAAAACGAATATCCAAGGTAAAAAAAGACCAAAGGCCTGGCGGAGAGCTTGTCTTGAAGGGTTCGAGCACTGATGTGGACAAGTACCAACACTGGGCATAAAGGAACAACACACGACTGAGATACTTTGACTCACCGCTTTGTGGCCAGCATCTCCGCGGCAAACCTGAGAAGCAATTCGCTAACTTGCACATCTTGCGGAGCAAACATAAACGGTCCCATAAACTCCTGCCGCACGTCTGCTGCTGTGGAAGCAAGAGCACCAGCGGCAGCAGCGACAAATTTCAGGGGGTGCCGCAAGCCCCAGCAACAAAGCACAGGAAGACTCCCACACACCTCCTGTCTCCCTTCTCCGTCGACAGTTACCGATGCACGGATAGCTGTTTCTGCCAAAGCCTCTTGCAGCAGCTTCTCCAGGGCTGGCCAGTCTCCACGGTCCAGCAGCAGCAACAGTAAAATCAGCAACGCGCATGCCCTTAACTGCTGTTGTACAACTTTGCTTAGACAAGAGCTCTGAGCAGCAGCAGCGCGCACAGCAGCTGCAACAATCATCAGCGACTATGGAGAAGCAGCCAGCATGGAAACAGACGCACGCGCGCCTGGTCAGCTGCACAGGAGCAAAAGCTTGCAAGAAATTGGGCCATGCTACAGCTACATAAATGCCGCCACCACAGCTATCAGCAGCTATACACTTGCAGCAACCTGAATACATCAGCTCGTGGTGGCCAATTCGCGAGAACAGGCAGCAGCTGCTTAAGCAGTGGCTGCATGGCAGTCGCCACTTTACCTGAGCCATTCTGGTCTCCACAGAATTATACACCAACGGTAACAGCGGGCTCGCCATCTGCCGCACTTGCGAAGATATTACTGGGGAAGCACCCACTACAATGCAGAGAGCTGTAGCTTCTAGCAGGCACAGCAACAGGAGAGGCTGCTGTGCCTCCGCCACCGTCAGGCGCATGTCGGCGACCGCTGGTAGCACTTGCAACAACAGCGTCAACTGAAGCAACAAGCATAATGACAGAAACGAAATAAGCTACGGCTGGTTTGTAATTTTTATAAAGATATGCTCGTTAGTGCCCCTCAAAGGCGTGTTTCCTTCTGCTACTGTCTTCTATATTCTAGGACTACGCCCAGAAAGCATCATGCACCTGGGCACTAAGATGTGGCCCACACATAGAAATAGTAAATAGACAGATTAAACACGTTAATCTACCGACTTAAGCACTCAGGCAGCAACATTAGAAAGGCTACCTCCTCCTGAGGATGGCGAAGAGGGTCAGCCGCTCTGATAATTCCGGCAAACAGGCGAAGGCCGCAACGCTGCAATGCTCCTGATGGCTCAGCGGGCACTGCAGAGCACAAACAGCCAACAAAAAAGGTCTGGGAGGTTCGGCATGCATACGAAGATGGAGAAAGATACACAATGTGACTGAAAGAGAAAGCTGCGTAAACCGGATTATTCCTGAGACAAAAGTCACAAACTCGACAAGCAAATAAGTAGGCTGTGCAGTAGAAAGCACCGCAATGCTTCCACGCTGCTATGGTGGCAAAGAGAGAGCACAAAGAAACCCATGGATGGAACGACAAAAATGCAAAGACGCGAGAAGAGAGACAAGCTGTGACGACATCGCGACCAAGGGCAAGGGCTGCTGGAAATTCGGGGAATGAAAACACACTCAGTTTAAAGAAGTACTAGAAGCAAAGAAAAAGAACCGTACAAGCGCTCCCCAAAAGAACCGATAAGCCAGTATCCCCAGGACAAAACAAAGGAGATATACACAGGGCAAAGGAAGCGATTATTAAGTACAATGAGGGCAGAAATATAGGTGCCGACAAAAAATGAGTTTTAGAAATTGAAAGACAGAGGGGGATACCAAGATCAACGACGGCACAGCTGTATTTCCCCTACCATCTGATTTGGCACCTGCTCCCATTGCCCATCCAGCAGCCTACAGCAAATCCGCAAACTACGCCAAGCCCTGAGACTTTTGGGCTGCGCTGTCAGCTCGACAAGTGCATAACTTGTGGTAATAAAGCTACTAAACAGATAAATGAACAAACAATGCAAGTTTAAGCCCCTGAAACTCTAAGCCGCAGCAACAAAGAACATTCCTTTTCACAACCAAAAGCAAGGGTGGCAACCCGTGAGAACCGGCATAAACAAAAGCTTCTACACAGGCCAACAAACTAGCACCAGCAGCAAACACAAAAGAAGTAGCAAACAGCACCTGAAGGGCGGCAGTGAGCAGTCCCATTGGCAGTGCAGGCGCAGCAGAAGTCCCTGCTGGGAAGCGTAGAGGCACTTCTGGCCTCCCTATTAGCATGGCTCCGTGCAAGAAGGTCAGAAGCAGCACCTGCAATGCCT